AAATAAGACCATTTATATTAGTTTTTAACTGCCTGTCTAGAGGGGGCTGCCATTGCACTTGCCTCTGCACATCCTAAGTATCAAGAGTATTTCTCAGGTTTCTCCTGCAACAAAAAAGAAAGTAATCAACATCATAGAACATTTTACTTAACAAAACTTGATTATTCAAAAGGTTATTCTAAAAGATAACAGAAGTTCTATTCTTCCACAAATTTCAGCTGACTATACCAAATAAAATGTTCCAAAGGGGATATAGGGGAAAGTTCAACTTAGTAAGATTGGAAACCAGCCAATTGGACAATCCAAAGCTGAAAAAAGGAACTCAGAGATCAGGGGGCAAGATCTATTTCCATATATACTTGGCTACCCAGCAATTCCTAAGGACATGTATAATAGATTCATTATCTTCCACACATCTTGAGCGCAAATGAGAGGTAGTCATATTACAGTTAAACCACTTCTCGTTGGTTAAGAGTTGTCCATGGATAATTTTTCTAAGAAGACAACTATTCTAGGGGGTACCTCCCAGTCCCCAAACCAACTTTAAAAGATTCTTGATGTCAGAATTGGCTGAAGTATGATAAAAATCAAATTATAAACTGATTTAATTGAAAAAAAATCTCATTATTGGATAGTTTTCAGAAAATATGATCCTGACCACTAGCTAGCATAGGGGAACTAACATTAGCAATTAAATCATAGATAGTCCTAAGGAGTAATGTCTAATTTTGACCCAATCCTAATTGCTCTACTGGGTAAACAAGACCACATGCTCATTTAACTATTTCTCACGAATAGGATAGGTAGCAAGACTAGATAAAACTTTATTCTTGAGAATCTAACTATCTTCCCAAAACCTAGCTATTATTCCTATAATTCAATCAAGACCATTATTAAAATAACTTTCGACAAAAATTATACTTTTCCATAAAGAGGAAGTATTATTATTATTACCAATAGTAGGATTTTTTTTTCCTAAAGGGAATTTGTATTTACTGCTTAGGACCTTAGTCCAAAGCTTATTTAGGGAAGTGATTGACCTCTAGCAAAGCATGATAATGAAAGTTTGGTTTACAAGATTAATGTCCCTGAACCCCAATCTTCCTTGACTCTTGGGTTTATAAATTTTATCCCATCCAATTAGGTGACATTTCCTATTATTTAAGGATCCTCAAATAAACTTTTTACAGATAGTATTAATCTCTTTACAAATAATTTTAGGGATAATCATTGCTTGCATGCAATAAGTAGAGATATTCATGATGCAAGACTGAACAAAGGTGATTCTACCCGCAATGGTTAAAGAATTCATTTTCTAAACAGAAAGTTTCTTTTTAATTTTCAATTATAAAAGCAAAATCCTGCCTAATAGGAGTGGTATAACTTATAGGAAAACTTAAGTATTTACCAAACTGGACAGAATTCGTAACTCCTAAGGATAAACTTGTTTTTTTATATTAGCTACATATGCCTTTTTTTCATTCTAAAATCTTATAATTTGCTACCTAGAACTCATTTTCTATGAGGTATCTAAATTGAGTAAATTAACTTTAGGAGATAAATCCCATTCAACATCTATCTTTTGTATTCACAAAATTTAAATTCAATAGTTACTTAAATAAAAATACATTTTTAAAACTAATAGTAGAGTTTAAGTATATAATTTTTTATTAAATAGTTATTTTCACATGTGTAAATATAATAAAATGGAATCTTATTATATTAACTTTCAAGATTAATAAATATGTCTTTTAATTGTGAGCTTAAGTAAACCTATGATTATAGATGAAAAATTTATAAACATAATATTAATTACTAATAATTTACTATTTATAAATAAATAATATTAATTAATATATAAATAAGTGAAAATAAATATTTTTTAATTAAAAAATTATCATCTTATTATGACTTTTGTTTTTGTGAAAATGATAATTATGTTATTTATCTCATTATTTTATTTTTACTTTCATTAATCTTACTTAAAATATATAGCTTTAATATTGTATATTTATTAGCCTCTTGTTATTTTTATTTAATACTGTAAATATTAAAATAAAGTAAAGCCATAACAAATTGTGATAAATGTTAATTATTCAATGGTTATAAAATAATATCAATAATAAAATATAAAATTAATAAAATATTACTTAAAATGAATAATATCTCAATAATTTAACATCAATTATAGTAAAATAATAAATAAATTTGATTACAATAATTTAATAAGTGATTTAACATCTTAAAAAATCTAAAAAATAAATCCCAAATAAAAATAAAAATTTAAAATATTTTACTATTAATATATTTAAATTAAATTCTTTCACATTAAAATAAGTTGGTTGACTTTTATATAGTAAATTTGAATGGAGAGCGAGTAAGGTATGTACTTTCATCAAACGTAATTATGCGTCTTTTTTGTACTGACTTACATATTTTGATTTTTATTATATCATATTAAATTAATACTAGTTTTATTTATTTAAAGATTAATTATTTTTAAATTTTTAGATTATTTGATACTCAAGATAAATGATATATTTATAATGAAAATTTCTCATCGATAAATTTAATATATATATTAATAGTAATTTTTTGTATATATAAATTTTGAGTTTTTTTTTAACTCTTTTTAATAAGATTTATTTTACTTATAAAATATATATATATATATATATATATATATATTATCTTCTTGCTTATATTTATAAATATTTATAAGTATATTAATCAACAATATTTTTATAGAGATCCGTGGTATCATTCTTCTGTAATCCACGTCAGTGCCACGGCGAAAGCTGTACTTGATATATGTATGTAGGGCCCACATTCATTTTATCATTTATCAAGTTGAGATCTGAATATATCATCTCATCTTTGTGGCTGTTCTGTATACGCTCTCTTATAGATTGGACTACAACTAGGTTAAGGGTTGTTATTTCAAGTAAAAAATAATATACATATCATCTAAGGCTCTTACAAAATTAAATTAATATCAATATAGATTATTATATTTTATAGTGTTATTTTGAGTTTAAATTTTGATTAACATATATGTGTGTTAAATATTTGGAATTTTTTAAACTTTCATAACAATTTTATTATATTTGAACAAAATGATTTTTTAGTAAAAAATTATTGAGTTTTAAAAAATATTAAAATAAGTAATTTAAATTGAAAAGTTTACAATGTATTAAAATTACTTTTAGCAGTGTTTACAGAAAGAGAAAATAAGTACTCTTAATAATTAACATGCTCATGGACTGACCCGTGAACTAAACCTTCTTCTTATGTTGGGATACGCCTTGTGACCAGCAAAAAAGAAGATAAAGTTATTAAAATGCAACTCACGAATTTTAAGATGAGCATTTTTAATTAATTAATTACTTTTATATAGTAAACTTATTGTAACTGTGTATAAACTTTATTTTTCAATTTTTTTAGAATTGTAATTTTTTATTAAATTATTATAATTGATAATTAATGTTTATAGTGGTCAATATTTTTAAATTTAAGTATATAATATTTATTAAAATTTTAGTGGTTTTGAAAAAAATAAAAGGTAAAGTGATATTTTATTTTTAATTAATATATTTATGTAATATTTATTAAAGCTAAATAAAAATTTATGGTTTTATTTTATAAATTTATCATTTTAGTTTTTAAATTATTAAATTTAAAATATTTATTAAAATTAAAAATTATCTTTTCTTTTAAAACTCAACTTTTAAATATATTGGCACTCTTTTCATAGAGGAAGAGACCTAAAAGGCTAAAAACCATTTGCTATGACAAGCCTTCAAATAATGTGTCTGGCCTTGAATGGAAGCAGAAGTTATTGTCTTCATTTTGCACATTTTAATTAAATTCCCATCTACTTCTTGTCCTTATTCCTCAGCTATCCAAAATAAAAAGAAAGTTTAGTATTTTTAACCTGTTTCTAAAGGTATATGATAAAAAAAATTATATATAATAAATTATTAAAAATAATAAGTTTTTTATAAAAGTTAATAAATTAATAATATTAAATACTATAACTTTTAATAAAAATTTATTATTTTTTAATATGTATTATTAAACATACGTTAAAATATTCGAAGAAAATATATGTTAGTAAAAGTTTAATTTATATTTGTTGTTATGTGTTAATGTGATTTATTTGTTATAAAAGTGCCAGAATCACTTTTCTTAACAATGCGACAAGAAGCCTTGTTTCATATACGTAATGAAGGGTTTATTTCATTTGATATGTGAAAATTTTAAATATTGAAAATTTTAAATATATTAATATTTAAAAATAAATAATTTTGTGTTTGTAAGTAAATGAAGTACTTCATAAGTATTATCATGAAATTATTTTGGGACAATTTAAATACAATCTTTTGAGTACTTTTGATATTGTTTACAAATGAAAATTAGAATTTGACCTTTATAACTTACAACATTGAATATAGATCTTTTATATCAAATAAAATTTTAAATTTTGATTAAAAATAGTATAAAAAACACGTTAAAATTTTGTACATTATATTACTCCCTGTTTGACTAGAAAAGTCCACACACATTGGCTGCTAAGCATTTACACAATGGTGGTACTCCACCGACGAAGCAAGATGCATACCAATGGATGCAGGAATTCAAATAATACTATAATTAGCTTAAAGCTTCTTTCAGATGGCTTATTTAGTTCTATTAAGTGTGCGTTAATATATTTTCCAGGACTCACTGTACCTCTTGCAGTTCTTGATCAACGCTTCAAAATCAAAGATACATAAAGAAAAAGGCACCCCCTTTCATAAAATATTCCATTCTCAGGGAATAACTTCTAATTACACCAACAAAATACCCCCAAATCCATATGTAACTACGGATCACAGGATTGAGGAAGCATCTTCGTTTTCAAAATAAGATTTTTATAGCATTCAACATAATTTTTCTCAGTAATTTTCTTTCCTCGCTCTCACTTCTCACAATGAAGGAACTCTGGCTAACAATTCTTAATATTGAGTAAAAATAATTTTAAGATGGTATTGAGAATCAAATACAAAATCTGGCATATTGTAGCTTGTGATGTTACTATAGGAAAAGGAGAGGGTTCGGATGCAGAACAAATTCCCAGCAACAAAAGCTAAATTGCAGGGCTCAATTCCAACCAATAAAAAAAAGTTACAAGCCCCCATCAAACCCCTACACAAAAAATACATAATTTACAGCAAAAAATTACAATAAAAAATAAAAATTTAAACTACCATAGGAAAAAAAAATGGAATGGAGCAGCCTTTCTCCATTATAATCTTCATTCTATATGGCAAGATAAATCAATAAATGCCATACTTGCTAGTTTAAAGTATCATATCAGTATATAAAGTCCTTCATAAGCCCCACTGCTATATACTTGCCATGCTCCAGACGCCAGAACAATCATGGCTTTTTTTCAAAACCAAATCCTTCAATTTCCCTTGCATTTTTTGATACAGTAACGGAGAAGAATTAACCGATATATCACCAATAGAGGCCAAAATTTTCAACTCGGATTCATCCAAACCCATTGCTGGGCCTAAACTACATCTTTCATTCCCATGCTTCGCTAATGCGTCCTTAAATTTCTTGATCTGAAGAATAATAACATACCCACACAAAATTAAAATTTGATAAAAGACTAAATAACCAAACGAGAACCGTGTGCATAAGATTCTTACAGTGGCATTGGTACAGCTGAAGCTACAAACTCGACCCTCCGCACCTCTATAGAACCTGAAGAACGGTAACACGTGAATGTGCAAACCGTGACACATGGTTTTCAGCTCCTCATAATTGACTTTAAGAAAGATTGCAGATGGGTACAGCTCCGCTATTTGACAGATCTGGTCACATGGAACAGACATGGTCAAATATTGTAACCACAAAAAACATTAACAAACTTAGTAAAACCTAGAATTATTTTGGACTTTCGGTAATAATACCTTGGGATGAAGGGCTTTGCAGCCTCCACAACCAGGTGAATAGAAATCCACAACAACCAATGAATCACCAGCGTTGAGTAAAGAATGGACCAGTTCCTCGGCTGACTGGATCTCAATCATGTTAGGCTTCAGGTTCTTCTTCCACCACTGCAAAGCCCTGCTAACACAAATTGTTGCTTGTGCCTGAAATAAAAATAGAATAAATTTACAACTTCAGAACAACGACAAAATCTTATTCTTCTGTATGAGTTTAACTTTATGGATCATATATATCCACTCTGTCCTCTGTACTTGGCCAAAAACTAAATTATTCAAAATTTTATTTATCATAAGTTCTTTTCGCATGTTCCTTCAATATTTTTTTTATCTCCCTCTGCTCTTTTTCACATGTCAAAATAGAATGACTGTAAAGAAAAAAAAATAAAAGCTGGGAAACAAAAAATTTAAATGCCCAGAAAGCACAAGGTTGCAACATACATGGACAGAGACATTGTTTGAGGTTTTGGAATCGCAATACCCTGAGCCTTTTTCTTCAAGGGCCATCGATTTTCCCATGAAATCAGTGCTCAAAACAGAACAAGTCATTGATTTTGCTTTGACAATTTTCGAGGGGCAAAGCCCCCAAACCCCTTTGGTTTTAGAGCCAAGCATGATCTCATTCAACTCAGGAACACAGAAACTCTTCAAGGAACATGCCATATTAATCTTCAGTAATTTTAGCTTAAGGATCAAACCCAGGTTTTCTTTATCTTCTTTTTTCTGTTTCGGAATCAAAACAATGGGTGGAGTAGCAAAAATTCCAGCTTTGCAAAGACGCCAAGAATTTTTAAAGGCTTTTGAAACAAAAAGGAAACAAAAGCGGTATAAAGCTATTCAGTGAATAAAAAGCGCAAGCTTCAACAGACAAAAAGTGCTATTTTCCTGTGAATGGTTTGATGAGACTCATGAGAGAAAGCAATGGTGCTTCCAAACTTATAACAGAGAAATGGAAATGTGGTTGGTGGGGTCTTTTCTGAGTAATATTGTCCCTTTTATTGTTAAAAGTAAGGAATTGAAATTAATTATAATATTATATTAATAACAGTACCATTTATCCATTTTCATTTTGGAAAAGAAAAATGACTGGAAACGAAAGTTATCCACATCCACGTTATCTTTTGCATTTATTAAGGATAATTAACACCTAACTTGAGCAATGGCTGCATTTTTTCCTGTTGAGTTGTCCCACGTCATGTCACATGCGTTTCCCTTTTAAATAAATGAAAAAATTACGAGTGTGGCAGACTCTTTTTGTTTTTTTAACTAAATGTATAATTTTAATTTTTTTAAAATTAGTATAACGTAAAAAAGTTACTTAAAAATTACTTTTTTGTCTGATTTTTTTTACCACACGTCTTGCATACTAATTTTTATTTATTTTCTTAACCAAATATTGCTCTTTCAATTTTATATTAGCTCACCTGTCAGCATAAATATGACAAAATAAAGGTAATAATTATTTAAAATAAGTATTACATTAATTTAAGTGATACTTGACAGTATTTTTGCTGCAAAAGTACCAACTTAAAAAAAAATAGTAATTTAAAATGGACGATTAAAAAGAAACGAAGTCATATGTGTAAATTTCGATGACTGTCTGTATACTATGCTGAGGTAAAAACGCTATCAACTCATCCGGGATAATACTGCTGCGTATTGTGACACTTGGCATGTTTGGTAATAGGCGCTGTGTTTTTTTACTCTCTTCACCTTCTGCTTCTTGCACTTTTTGTCAATATCTAAGCTTTTGCAATTGCAGTTTACTTTAAGTAATTTTAGTATAGATTTTTGTGTATTGTAATATTGTGAGAAGAAACATTGGGTAATAGTAATTTTATAAATTATTAAACTTTTTTTTATTTATGATAAATTAAAATAATGGTTTTATATATTATTATTTCACGTGGTTGTGTTAAACTAAAATTGTAATTTTGTGGCTACTAGAAGTTAGTGAAGAATTTAAATGAATTATCTTTATTTTTTATAATTTTTTAATATATGATATTTATTTGGTAATTTTAAATAAGAACCAATTGAACTTAGGATTTATTATTTATTGTAGTTGTTAAATATATGATTTTAGTATATTTTAAAATATTTTTTTATGAAAAAAATTTGAATCCTTAGACTCAAATTGAATAATTAGTTTTTTTTTTAGAAAAAATGGTAATTACAGTAAATTTAAAAATTTAGTTATTTATCCAAAAAAATTAATTTCAATTTTGTTGAAGATTAATTAATAGTAAATTTAAATTATAAAAAATAAAGTAAAATTAAATAATTATCAATGTAGATGAATTAAATATAGATGAATTTAATTTATGATATTTGTAAGTGACATAAACTTGAAATAAATATATGTTAATGTTTAGGAAATTGTAATTTACAAGTAATAAAGATAATAATTCACATAAATCTAGTAAGATATATTTGAAAAAATTTATCAATAGGAATATTGTATTAGGAATTGAAAGAAATAATAATAATTTAATAATTTTTAGTAAAAATATGTGATAATAATTTGAATTGACATAATTTTAAATAAATAATTAATATTGTACTTTAATCGTTGGAGTTATTGAAATTAGGAATTTATAAATATAAAATTACATAAAAAATTAAAAAATAAATAATTGAGTTATTAATATAACATTTCTAAAAGAAGAAGATTAGGTAATTAAAAAATAAGATTAGGATATGTAAAAATTAAATTTTAATTGTAATATTAAATGTTAGTAAAAAATTAATTGTAATAAGTTTAGTTGATATAATGTGCATAAAAATTAGAATTAAATTTTGAATTATTTGACTTATTAAAACTAGTAATTCTAAAATAATATTAACAATTATTGTAGTTAAATTTTTATTTTAGTATTTATAGGATAAAATATTGTGTTATGACGCATGTCAATATACTAATTAATATTAGTCTCTAACTAACGGTGACACTCTTAACCTTCAAATGATGATATCAGTATCAGTTTATTCCGAACGATATTCTTCTGCGCTTGCCAATCATAAGTTTTTTTTTTTTTACATTTTTAATGGATATAAAATAAGTGTAAAGTGTATATTGTATTTAATTTACATAATTCACTAAAAATTCTTATTCTATTTATTTTATGTTTGTATATTGTATGTAATAAACCATCTATTATATTGATATTTACAACTTACTCGATTTAAGGACAAAGATGATTAATATAGAGTGATGAAATTACATACTAAAATTCTTACAAACTTCCTAATTCTTGATAGTGAAAACTAAGAAAGACAATTTATATAGATAAAGTTTCTATTTGCTTACAAGGTGTAGTTGATATAGTAAATAATGAATATTAAGATAAAGGGAAAGACATATTAATATCTAGAAAGTAGCTTACAAAGAACCTTAAAAAAGAAAGATTGTAAGGTTATGTTTTTATACATTAATGCAGTAATTTCAAGAATATTTTTCTTAAGAATATTTTTCTTAAGAAACATTGAAGAAGTGTTATACTAGTAGAAAAAAGATGAAAAATGTGTCTTTCATCATTGAAAAAGTAGTATAGGTTACTACTAATGAAGAATGTTGGGAAAACTTTTTTTTTCACTAAGGTGGAGATTTACTAAACTTATGAGAAGGTATGGTGAAAATGTCATTAATCAAATAATTATATATAGAATACATTCTATACACTCTGATTTAACTACGTTATAGTCACTGTATAGGAGTTCAATAATATAACAAATATGAAATTTGAAAAGTTTCAAGGCTCTTTAGAGACAAATGAGTTATTATTGAATAAAAGAAGTGTTAAAAAGCCTATAAACCAAGCATAGACCTCTCTTATACCACTCTAATGAGGGACACTAACACAAATGCGATAATGAATAACACAGTAGAATTAAATCTTCCAACTTATAAGAATCTACGAATAACAACAAATATTACAACAATTAAAAAATAACAAAATAGAAAGAAGGTATAAAGTTGTTTAAAGTAGAAAATTCCTTCAATGTGAAAGGTAAAAACCACATGTCATTCATATTAAAGAAATAGTTCTACTATGATTAAACATGGGTACAAGAGAGTTACAAATAAGTTTACAAACTATGCTTACAACCAACTAATTAACTCCAACAACAAAGCTTACAAAACTAAGAACCAAGAAGATGAAAATACTCAAAATATATAGCTATAGTGTGAACACTATCAATTGTACCAAATATCAATTTTAAACGATCCAACTGTTTAAAGCAAAGAACTACACATTATGAATCTTCTCTCAAATTTTTAACATGATCTAACAGTTAACAACTTTGAAAATGTAGATTTACCAAGACTAGTTTAAATTTATGCAAAAATGACTCTCTCTTCTTCTCTCACAAAGGTGACTGCTCTCCCACGTAATGAAATCTCTCTACTTGGTACTTAAGCCCCCGTTATTGGATGAAGAACATGATTTCACCTCTCTCTCGTACACTCACATAACCTTAATGACTCATCTCTAATTTTATAATTGAAATAAAATGAGTTTTCTCATTTTGAGTCCTTTTTTCCACATAAGAATGAATGAGTCCAATACTAAACAATGAGGCATACCAGGCATTTTTGTTCCAATTAGTGCTAAATAGAAAGAAACTATATGAAATTGATGATTGATAATAAATTAGTCTTTAATTTAGTAAAGAACCATGTGTCCTACAATAAAAGCAAGCATATAAAGATTAGATTTCATTTATGTGAATAATGGAAAGATGAAACTTGTTTACTATCCAATAGAGTTACAAATTATGATATGTTCACTAAATCATTTATGGGTGATATATTGAAAAGTTAAAAAAAGATTTATGTGTGATGACATTAAAGTATTTAAATTAAAAAGTGGTATTGTAGTAATTCAAATAAGAAAGAAAATTAGTAATTGATAAAGCTAGTGAGTTGTTGCATAGTTTTGTTTTTAAAGAAATAGAAGTTGTAAGTATTCTTTTTCTAAGATTTTGTAATGGATATAAAATGAGTAAAAAATGTGTAGTGTTCAATTCAGATTTATTTTATATTTTTTTTGGTTCTCTTTACTTGTGTAGAGACATTGTGTGTGATACAAACATTCATCACAATCATTAAAAAATCTTAAATAAAGTTTAGAGATAATAAACCCTTACTTGTATTCTGGAGCTTTTATTTATGCTTTACATGTCATTGACGAACACTAATTCTATTTTAGTTTAGATATGTCATTATTAACAAAAATCTTTGAATTTTATTTTGTGTTTTCATTTTTATTTATTTATTTGTTATATTACGACATTGATGAACATTATGCATTTTTCATTTACAAACTTAAAGAAAAGCACAAATTTATTTGCAATCTTCTTACATTATCAAAGATTTATTTGCATTTTTGGATATAATGAATATTAATCTTGTTTAGTTTAAATACGTCATTGATAAATATCTCAAACTTTATTCTTTATATTCATTTTTGTTAACTCTTTTGATATGACATTGATAAATATTGTGTTTTTTTTTATAAATTTAACATAAAATATAAATATTCTTATATTTTTGAGCTTCTATTTGTAATTTTAAATACGATAAACAAAAATTTCAATAATAATACATAAAAAATTTACACTTTTTAATCATCTTTAACTGATATAAAATATCTTTTTCAGATTAATTATAAAATTAATTTAAAATGTTTTCAATGTATAACCGATATAAAATGTTTTTAACTGATTTGTTAGTGCGTATGTCAAAAAGTAATTCGATCATTATTGATTGCAAATCTCCTTGGAATTCGTTAATTCTTTTTGTATGTTTCATAGTGTCATGTGATAGAAACTCAAAGTAGCTAAGGGTACTGAAAGCAGCTAGTTGAAGATGAGCTTTTAATTACATTTTATACAGTTGTAATA